GAGCCCATGAGTAGCAACCCAGCGCTCATGCTTGTTTCCTGTGACGACTATGCGACAGATGTCGAGCCCGCGCTCGCCGACGGTCCGCTCAAAAACGCGATCGCAGCCAAGGAACCCTACCTTGCGGTCAAGAGCTGCCAGCAGAGCATGAAACTGCTCATGGACGTCACCAAGCTCCTCGAAACCGCGACCGCTGCGTCCCACGGGTTTCCTTGCAGCTCCGCGATCATCAACACTCTCGGTCGCTACCAGTCGCTGGTCGTCGACACGGACATTGCTGCCGACGCGTTCCTTCGCGCCTGCATGCAAGTCCTCAAGAACTACAAGACGGCATTTGCCCTCCGCGACAAGAAAAAGTTCGACTTGGTCAAGAAGCTGCTCGCCTCGGCGACCAAGATCGCCAAGCGCATGGAAACCATCGCGGACGAGCTCGCGACCACATCGAAGGCGGCTGCGAGCATCGCACAGGCGAGCCTCGATGAGACGATCAACGCCAACCCCACCGCCATCCGCATGAACCAGGAGCAAGACGAGACAAAGACAACGCGCAAGACGGAGACCGAGGACCATACCGCAGCCAACAAGCGCTGCAAGTGCGAGGCCACGACCCACTTCAACAACAACAAGTGCGAGGCCATGCCCGTCAAGGACGCAAACGAAATGACGGCAACCGATCGACGTGACAATGAAGCCGTCATCGCCGAGACGCACTTGGTGTGCATCAATGATGTCGTTCCGCGCCAAGACGAGTGCATCGCTGCGCTCCGGAAGCAGCAAAAGAGCAACCAGGCCATCTCGGACATCGTGCTCCAGCTCTCGAGCCCGCCTGGCAAGGGCGAGACGTACAACATGGCCATCGCGGCGCTCAAGATGACGGTCCAGGCGCTCGGTAGCACCACCACGAGTTTCGAAGGCGTGCGCGATTTTTGGTCCAAACTCGCTTCGAAGACCGAGGACGTGGACTTGCTCGTCGACTCCATGACGGACGACTGGTACACGTGGCTCGCGCTCGCCAAGATCAATTACGCAGCCGTCACGGGCATGGCCGACGTCAAGAAGTCTGTGCACCGCGTCATGTCCGACTTGCCCAACTCGATGGAAGCGGAAGCGCGCCTTCCAGGTCTTCTCAAGGAGCTCCAAGCGATTCTCAAGGACAAAGATACCGACATCGCGGGTCAAATCAAGCGAGTGGCGCAGCGCCTTTATTAAACAGTGGGTCCGAGACCATATAAGAAACGAGCTATAACTAATTGGTCACAATATCGCATTGCCTTGCGCGGTAGCTCGGACGGCATCGCAAGACAGTAGCACAAGGCACGTACGAATTTGAAGCTTGGAGGTGTTTAAGTAGTACGGCGCGGTAATACAGTACGTGCGAGGTGCCTACGGTCAACATGTACGAACTATGTCGAAGAGTGCAGTCGCCAAGGCAACGTAGTTTGCCGAGCTATTTGCTCCAACACCCCGAATGTGCGATCTACATATGGATAAAGGAGAGGGTTGCATCGGTGTATTCTGCTCATTTTTGCCGAACGCTACACTATGACACCCGTGCAGCATGGGGTTGGGGCCAATCTTGGCATGCATGATGTCGTTCAGCAGGTCCATCAGCTCGCCTTCCTAAAGCTGCTTGAGAATAGCAACTTCTCTACAAGTCTGTTCCTTGGTGAACCTGACAGCAGCCTCGAGTCGCAACGCATGCTTCGTATGGCCCATAGATGCACACGGCACGGTGCGAGCGGAAGAACGCCGGCATCAGCTAGACGATGTCAATGCCACGGAGTTTGGCCATAAGGGCGCTTGGTCGACCGAAAGAATTAGTTGGTGATGTCCGCCATGGAGAAAGAGCAGAGCGGCAGGTTCGAGCTCCCACAAAAGTACTCCTAAAGCACGTGAAAGAAGTCGTGTCGACCTCCTGAAACTTGTCCACGAGAAGCACCCGCCCGGAGCTCCCAACCTGCTATCTGGCTGTCGCCGACGACTTGTACGATGCACCCACCGAGGTCGCCTCGGGCTCCAAGCTCTGACTGCCCGATGGTATCTTACCCAAGTAGTATGCCGACTTCGTCGACCAAGTGGTGCTCCGCGCAGTCGAGCTTCGAGCACACCTACACTGGCTCGACAGGGCCGACCAAGCGTGCCTCTTTCGCCGCTTCCTCTTCGACTGCGACTTTATCAACGACGTGTGGGCAACGCTCGACGCGGTCACGGCCCCCTGGCGTGTCGACTTGCCGACAACGCTGTCAGGCTACCTCCTCTTGACACCCAAGACGACGTCCAACATTTACCAAGCCGCTACCTCTGGCCCGTGCTCCACGCCTGTGTCTGGTTCAACAACGTTTGGCGTGTCCGAACGACCGCGTCTTCCGCTCTGATCTGCCACTGCCAAGTCGATCGCTGTCAACTTCATCTGCGAATCTGTCTATACGTCTGGGGCTGTCTGTACGCGAGTCCAAGAGCCCGAGCAGCCCGAGCAGCCCGATCTTTTTCGGGTTTTTGGGTTTTTCGCTAAATTAGCCTCTCAACTTCTCCTCCTTTAACAAATCAATGACACGGGGTGAGCCGAAACGATCTTTTCGAGAGCGGAGCTGCGAAAACGCTCTCACGCTAGATTTCGGCTTCCGTTAAGCAACCCGCCACTTCTCCCCGGAGGCTGGGGCAGTAATTCAGGCGCCCCTTGAGCTAGCACTCTCGTGTATCGAGAAGTGATATAACGTTATCTATCATTTAAGCACTTGGTCTGGTTCGTATGGAGTTTTAATTCAGCTTCCCTTTCTCTGCTAATCAAGGGTGTACGTGCACTGATCACTGTTGTATCGGATTGTCAGAGTCAGGTTGATAGATGGGCCGCAGACACGGATGGACCGTGATTCTCAGCAGCTGCAGTGTACAGTGCCGAAAATTTGAGGCATCTCTCATCGTTCCATACTAGTGTCAATTGAATCGGGCTGTCAAATTGTCAAGTTTGGATACTGTTTTGCCCATCGTATGCGTGGCATCGAACGCACGCTCGGACGTTCTCTTGCTCGGTCTCATTGTCACTTGATAAAAATAGTTACCTCGATGAGAACGGATTTACGATTCCGAGAGCTGATCGTGCAGATCCCTAGATTCGAACGTGCGGTATCCTGTCTCGGAAGGTCAAGACGAAAAGTAGCAAGCGGGTGCAGAATTTCGCCGTCGATGAAGTTGCTGTCTCTTAGCGATCAAACAAAAGCCAACAACGATGTCGGACTTTCACGTCTTTGTCTATTCGAGTTGAGGGATGTGGTCTAGGCCACGATACCACTCGTGGTGTGCTACGTTGAACGTAGGAGGAGATCTGGCCGCGATTGGACGAGACTCTGGCGCTCGCCTTATGTGTGTCGGATTGTTGGGCGTCAGTATATGCACATTGGATACTGCGCGTGCCTGGTGCGTATACACCCCAAACGTCGTTTGTCAAGTAGCCAGCAATCCATGCAACCCATCTCCAGTCGGCGCTCCGTTCAAATTTATCATCGAATCCTATTTCTTTGAATCGGCCCTCTACAATATAACTATATATGCAAACGATGGGGCGTTTACTACCACGCTAGTACCCAATCATGTTCTTTATTCTATCGAGTGTGCACACGTGCTCGATTTGGTAGGCTTTGACCTGTGTGCATTTCCCATTTTCCCTCGTCCGCACGAACACCATGCCCGGGATTAACAACCCAACGCTTGTGATCAAATCGTACGACAACTACGAGACGGACGTCCTGCCCGCGCTTCTCGACGACGACGGCCAGCTCCTGAAGAAGGTCGAAGCAAAGGAAAAATTCACCGTGGACATGAGCGCGCAGAAGTGCACGGAGGCGCTCAAGGATGCCGCCGCGGTGCTGGAGATTGCCATCGCTGCGTCGCACGGCTTTCCCTGCAACGCCAAAATCATCAATCTTCTCGGCCGCTACCAGACGCTCGTCGTCGATGCGGATATCGCCACCGCCGCGTTCCTCACCGCGTGCATGCAGGCACTCAAGTACTTCAAGACGGCCTTCGCCTGCCTCGAGAAGAGCAAAATCGACTTGGTCGAGAAGATGCTCCTCGCAACGAGCAAGATCGCGGGCGAGATGACAGCCATTGCGACAAAGATCGCAATTGCGTCCGGAAAGGCCGCCGAAGAGGCCCTGACGATCCTCAACACGACGGACGTCGCCAAAAGCGCTGCCCAAGTCAGCAAGAGCGAGACTGATGCCGCCGTGAAGGCGTCAAAAGAAACGACGTCCATCCTCGAAAAAGATCTCGAGGAGAAGACGCGTCGTGTCTCGGACGCCCAGGCCGCAGAGAAAACAGCAATGAGCCAACGCAACATGCAAGGAGGGGTGAACACCACCGACTACAGCGTCCTCTGGGGCTTGTGGAAGGTCTCGCGTCAAGGCGAACGCGACAAGATGAGCCACCTTGAGGCAGTCGAGAACGCCAAGCGCGCCGCATGCGTCGAAGCGCTCAAGAAGCAGCAAGAGACCAACCAAGAGATCACGGAAATCGCGCTCGAGCTTGCAAACTTGCACATAAGCGGCGAGAC